ACAAATGGATAAGAAAGCTATGGTACATATATGCAATGGAATATTACTCAGCCATTAAAAAGAATACATTTGAATCAGTTCTAATGAGATGGATGAAACTGGAGCCCATTATACAGATTGAAATAAGCCAGAAAGATAAAGCCCAATATAGTATACTAACACATATATATGGAATTTAAAAAGATGGTAACGATAACCCTATATGCAAAACAGAAAAAGAGACACAGATGTATAGAACAGACTTTTGGACTCTGTGGGAGAAGGCGAGGGTGGGATGATCTGAAAGAATAGCATTGAAACATGTATATTATCAAGTGTGAAACAGATCGCCAGCCCAGGTTGGATGCATGAGACAAGTGCTCAGGGCTGGTGCACTGGGAAGACCCAGAGGGATGGGATGGGGAGGGAGGTGGGAGGGGGGTTCAGGATGGGGAACACATGTAAATCCATGGCTGATTCATGTCAATGTATGGCAAAAACCACTACAATACTGTAAAGTAATTAGCCTCCAACTAATAAAAATAAATGAAAAAAGAAAAGAAAAGAGGGAGCTCCCCACCGTCCCCACCACACAGATTCGTAGACACAATAATCTCAGAAGCACAAAGTATAATAAAATAGAGTAAATCATTAAGAAGTGCTGAGTTTTGAGTATTTATTGCCTTTGCTTTTATTATAATTGATTGAGTTGTAAGTAGTTTATTTTTAGTAATAGCCATGTTTGGACTCCAAGGAGATCAAACCAGTCAATGCTAAAGGAAATCAGCCCTGAATATTCACTGGAATGACTGATGCTGAAGCTCCAATACTTTGGCTACCTGATTCGAAGAGCCCACTCACTGGAAAAGACCCTGGTGCTGGGAAAGATTGCAGGCAGGAGGAAAAAGGGTTGGCAGAGGATGAGATGGTTAGATAGCATCACCAACTCAATGGACGTGAATTTGAGCAAACTCTAGGAGATAGTGAAGGACAGGGGACACCTGATGTGCTGCAGTCCGTGGTCTCCCAGAGTCGGACATGACTTAGCAACTGAACAACAACAATGTTTCCCAATTGGTGCACAAAATTTCTGAGAATTTCAAAATTGACTCTTGCCAGCTACAGTGGTCCAGTTTCAAGTGAAGCTGGAGGAGATAAAGCAAGCCAGATATCATCAAGGGTGCTGTTCTGTGAGCCTCTGGTGCCCAGTCCTGGCCCTGTGATGGGGAGGGGGGTGTCCTGGGCACTCTGGAAAGAAGGGTGACCCTCTGGCCCACCTTGCACTTGTCAGAGTCAGGAATCCTGTCCCGTTGAGATGACCTGTGGCCACCACCTTCGGGTCTGTTCTCGGACCCCCCTTCTGCCCTTATGTCCCTGCTCTGCTTCACAGAGAGGTCTGTATCCCATGATTTCTTGTCCTCCAGCTCCAGATAGTTTCAGCCGAAAGGAAACGTTGGAAAATTGGAGGGTGGATAGAAGCCAGGGTGCTTCCATCCCCATCTCCGGTTTTAGGAGCATTTCTGCAAGTGCCATGTCTCTTCCATCCCTCTTTCTAGAGTCCCAGTCCTCACAAGGGGACCCAACTCCTGGCTCCAGTAACACTGCCCTCTCTTGGGTCCCTTCAACCCATGGAAGATGAGTCCCTGGGATACCTCAGCCCTTTTGTAACTTGTGTGATCAACTCCTTGTGTTGAATTCCCTTTGTTTGCGAGACGCGATGCATGCTGGTAATCATTGGGGTGATCTCAACTATGGACTGATGGTTAAAAGGGGTAGAGGGTTTGGCGGGCTGGGTTGGCTTCAGTACAGTCCATGGATGACATTAGTGGCTACTCTGAACCCGGGATTACAGAGGGGGACGATGAAAGTGCATGTCACCATGAACCAGAAAGCTCTGTGAACTTGGCCCCAGACAAGCATATTGCCTGGAGTGCAGGTCACCAGCCGTGACCAAGTGTGGACCACAAAACTGCAGAGACCATTCCCAGCAGCTCCACCACGTGGTTGCCCCCATGTGGCAGCATGGGGATCATGGTCCGTCTTCAGCTCTCTTTCCAACTGACTTTGGGCAGGGGCTCTTAGCATGGAGTTACCCCCTGGATTCTATGGCAATTTTTCTGGAAGAGGGCCAGCCTCATGAGGGATTCATGTGCTCAGGAGGCAGGTAAGGACTGGAGGCAACAGAAATAAGAGTGCTGCCTGGCCGTGTATCAGGAAGAAGGATGCTAGATTCAATCTTGGTTCTGATAGACAGCAGCCTCTAAGTAGGATAGCATGGATGGCGCTGGGCAGTTGTGGGCTGACCTGACTTAGTCCTGCTGCCCGTGGACCCACTACTGCCCCGCCCAGTCAATGCCTTCATCCTTACCTGTTCTGGGGGCAGGCAGGAGCCTGACAGAAAGAGCAGGCTTTCAAAACACGGGAACTCCCCGCCTCCCAAGAGGATGAGAGGTTTGTCAAGATGCTGAGAGGCAATTTTCCAGGTGTCAGGCTTCTGTGGCATTCTGTATGGGTTGCAAACCACCCAGCTTTGATGGAACTGTCAATTTGCCTAATGAATTGTAACATGAGAGGTTTATAAGTTCGAGCCTGTGATGTTTTCTATTTTAAAGCATAGGCAATACATTTGGAATGCTAATGGCTGCTACATGTTGTAACTTCACTTGCCAATCTTCTGAATTCTTGCAGTCCAGTCCTTGGCTAGTGACTATTTTGTTTTGAAGTCTTTATTCAATTTGTTACAATATTGTTTCTGGTTTAGGTTTTTTTTTTTCCTTAATGTTTTGTTTTCTCAACCATGTGGGATCTTTTCTCTAGTTGTGGCACACGGATTCAGTAGTTGTCATGCACAGGCTTAGTTCCCCAGACAGGCATCAAACCCTCTTTCTCTGCATTAGATGGTGGACTCAATCACTGGACCACCAGGGAAGTTCCCTTTGAGCTATTTTGCAGATACTGAAACCCCCACTAGACAGGAGACGTTAACTGCATTACCTCACTACCAACCAACCAGAAGAATGTCCACCAGCTGATCACGTACCCCGCAACCCCCCTCCCTCACCCCCATCTTTAAGAATCTTTCCCTGAAAGCCATTGGGAGTTTGTGTCTTTTGAGCACGAACCTCCCAGACTCCTTGCTTGGTGCCTGCACTTTCCTTCACCACAAACCCGGGTTAGTACATTGGCTTCACTGTGTGTGCAGGCGAGTGGACCCAAGTTTTCTTCAGTAACACTTTGGCTTCTTTCCTCTCTTTCGGAAGCTCATCTTTAGGGAAAACTACCCCACCCCTCCCGGCAACAGGATATGAGATCCCTGGCACTGGTGGAAGTGACTTTTCCTCTCCTAGGAAGAGGCAGTGCTGGGAGGCAGGGAGCAAGATGGGGGAACACAGGAGGCAAGGGGGAGGGGCCACTCTCCCACTGCTGGGAGGACAGACTACCTGGCTACATGTCAAGTTCCCCCCAGCTTAAACCCCTGTTGTTTGGGACCCCTGCCACCCTGCCTCCCAGGTTACTCTGTAAGAATGGGGAGGAGGGCTTCCACGGTGACTCAGTGGTAAAGAATCTGCAGGCTAATGCAGGAGACACAGGTTCAATCCCTGGTCCAGGAAGATCCCACAGGCTGTGGAGCAACTAAGCCCCATGCATCACGGAGCAACTAAGTCTTCTAGAGCCCATGCTCTGCAACAAGAGAAGCCACTGCAATAAGAAGCCAGCACACCACAACTAGAGAGTAACCCCTGCTCACTGCAACTAGAGAAAAGCCCATGTGGCAATGAAGACCCAGCATGGCCAAAAATAAATGAATAAATAAAAACAAAAGAAAAAAATGGGGAGAAACTAGGAAGTTACTGATGGTGCCCACAACTTCCATCCCCAGGAGACCCTCTGTGTGAGAGGAGACAGTTGGTTGGCTTTCAGCAGCTTGGCATCTCATCTGCTGTTCATTTCCACGGCTGGGTGAGCCAAGCCTGCCCTGGGGCCCCTCACCAATGCATAGCTGAAGACTTTCATCATTGGGAAGGAGGGAGCAGCTAGGATTGGACTGTTGCTTGGCACTGGGCCTGATGGGGGAAAGAAACAGCCAGAACTTTTTGTCCAGCTTCCCTCCCAGTGTCCTGCAGTTCTAAGTGAAATCATGAAGTATCCTCTTGCCCAAGAGAGCATCTTGGAGGCCCTAGGAAAGCCCTGGTGGGGGGTGTGCTGCTTCTCAGCTCCAGCCTTGGAGCGTGAAAGCCGTGGACAATACATGAACAGAGGGGTGTGGCCATGTACCAATAAAACTTTATTTATAAAAATAGGCAAAGGGCCTTGGGTTATCGTTTGCTGACCCCTGCCTTAGACTAACACGAGAAGGCGCCTGGCCCTGGGTTAGCAGCTAGAACAGGGGTCCCTCCCCGGACTGCCGACCAACTCCTGTGGACGAGACGTCAGGTCTGTATGTTTAATCACTCTTTCCTGAACCAAAGCAGTCACAGCCGCCTCCTCACTCGGCGCTGCCCTTGGGGTTGTCTTTGATGTCACCGCAGCTGCTGCTGCCCCGCTCCCCTCACCAGCCGGGGTTTAGGTGGAGATACTCACAGGGGCAGCCCCACCCAGGGCTGGAGACATCGGGAGCTCAGAGTTCACAGGGGGCTATTTCTGCCTGGGGGATGGACAGGGGCTCAGCACATGCAGAAGAAGTGGCCATGGGCGGCTGGACAGGAATACCGTAGAAAAGGCACGTGATTTGGAGCTGGAGTTGGCTGTCAGCGGACGCGCTCAGGCCGAGCCACCAGCTGAGGGGGGTCTGTGCTCCTGGAGGAGAGGCTGGTCCCGGCATCAGCCTCCAGAGCACAGGGAGGTCCCTAGGTCCCAGGTGACAGGGCCCGCCAGCAGCCATGGAGAAGTCAGTACCCAAGGTGGTGCAGGCATGACCAAGGCCCTCTGGGTTCGAGTGGTGGATTGAGTGGGGGGGCCCCACACCTGCCCCAGGTCCTTGGAGTCTTCATTGGGGTGGGGGCACAGGGTGAGGCTGGGGGTCAGTGCCGCCCTGGCTTGATCCAGTTTCTGATGGTCCATTTCTGTCCTGAGCACCTCTGCACCACCAGGCGGAGCCCGAAGTTGGCATCCTTGGACATCTCCACCTCCAGGCACCGGCCCGTGTCTCTGCTCACAATGGGGCCGCCCTGCGAGGGAGGGAGATCCAGTGAGCCCACGGGTCCCATCCCAAGAGCTTCCAGGGAGTGGGGCGATGCCAAGGCGACCTGAGGGTCTGGGTCCTGCCTCTCCCCAACCCTCTGTCCTCACTGACCATCTGCTCTCCAACACCGCCTCCCAACAGCCACCTCCCTTCTCCTGGGGTCCCAGGAATGATCAAGACAATGGACTCCAGGGCCCTTGAGATGGGCGTTCCCCTCAGTATGCATCCCTGGCCACTGGCAGGTCCAATTTGCCTATTGGTCACTTCTGCAGGCCCTCTGGTCCTTCGAACATCAAGGGCTCTGGCCCAAACTTGAGATCCCAGGCTCATATCCTGTTCTCTTTCCTCCAGACAGGTCCTTCCCATGCACTCTGGACCTCACTGTCCTGGCCCCAAACCCAGCCTCCTGGGGACTCTGATCTCGTTGACTCTACATGTAACAGCTCATTCCTGCTGTACCTGGGAGCCCCCAGACAGCACTGTGCACATGTCTGTCCCAGGGTCTCCTGCTTGGGAGGAGTTGGGTCAATCTCAACAAATCTCTGGGGCTTCCCAGGAAGCAGTAGTGGTAACAAACCCGCCTGCCAATGCAAGAGATGTAAGAGAAGCAGAAGCAGGTTGGATCCCTGGGTTGGGAAGATCCCCTGGAGGAGGGCAAGGCAACCCACTCCAGTATTCTTGCCTGAAGAATCCCATGGACAGGGGAGCCTGGCAGGCTACATAGACCATGGGGTCGCAAAGAGTTGATAGGACTGAAACAACTTAGCATGCATGTCCACAACAAATCTCTGGGCAAGTCCAGCGTGGTCCCACTCAGTCAGCAGCAGGGGCAGTCAGACCCCACCCCTTCCGTCTAAACCCTTCCCCCACCCCCAGGAGGCTGGAGGAGTCGGCAGTGTGGGGCAGCGAGGCCCGGAGGAGGCAGCCAGGGCGCTGGGACCAGCCCAGCCCTTCCTTTGACCGTGACTGCGAGCAGATCCCCTAACGTCTGTGGAGGGGGTTCATGTGGGAACAGCTGATCCAGCCCCGCTGGGCCTTGAAGTTCGGCCCCCGCTGCCCTCAGCTCCCCCCACGGGCTGGCCCAGCGACCCCGGGGCCCCAGCAGCCCTCTGACCTGGGTGAAGTCCCACAGCCGCTGCGCGGGCCGGGCCACATCCTCGCACTTCTTCAGGGCGGGCGTGCGGCCCCTGCCGTCATCCACCAGGCACTTGGAGTCAGGCAGGAAGGCGGTGGAGCCCAGGGGGCCCAGCTGCAGCAGGCCCTCGGCGCTGTACCGCACCAGCTGGGGAGAGGCCATTAGAGCGGGGTGCGTGGGCACAGGGTGACCGGGCGCAGCGCTGGGCCTGAGGCCCTGAAGGGGGTGGGCGGGGCGTCGTGGGCGGGGCGGGGCGTCGTGGGCGGGGCCAGCCCAGTCAAGAGGGCCAACCTTCCTGGGGAAGGACTGGCCCTCCAAGGAGATGCTTAGCCCTGGCATGCAGAGGAGGCTGTATCTGGTGGACCCAAGCCCCCAGCCCCATTCCTTCTGCAAATCCCCCCAGGAGGACCGCCTCGGACCCCTTCCCCTGAGCTCCGCGCAGACCCCACCCTCCGGGGAGCCGGTGCCTCAGCCTCGGAGGAAGAGGATTTCACGCGTGCGCAGGCCACCCGTCTCCCTTTGAACCAGAAGCAGCCCCAAGTTTACGATCCCAGGTAACGTTATTTGCCAAATACCAGGTAAGCAACATCTGTGCACTAGTGAGGAAACCAGTGCTCCAGATTCCTCTGTGCCTGGGCTGTGTGGCTTTGGACAAGTCACGTCGTCACCTCTCTGTGCCTCAGTTTCCTGATTTGTAGCAGATAATGCCAGTGCCTGCCTGGCGGGGCTGCCGTGAGGACCCTAGGGCATCGCACGCAGAGCGCGCTGGGCGCACAGAGGTCACTGTACTTTTCACCTTTCTCCTGTTTGCTTCAGATAAGAGCGCGCGCGCACATACACACACAAACACACTGTTGTGTTTTCCAGTACGGTCTGATAGAACACCACCTCCCCTGCACCTTCACTTGACCCTGCGACGCTGACACCCCCGTCAAGCGTGGGGCCCACATTTTCTACCGAGTCCTCCTACGGGGGATGGAGGGGGCGTGTGAACATCGCAGAAATCGTGCCACGGACTCTGGGGCAAGGTGTCAAAACTCAGGACACATCCCGCATCTCCTTGTACCCTGCTGATGGGATGGTTGCTCTGCAGTGAGGAGCCTGGGGCAGCCTGGCCGGGTGGGGGTGGAGGCTACGGGGGGAGGGCCGGAGACCCCAGAGCAGCCAGCTGAAGGCAGCTCAGAGGGGACCCCGCCAGCCTGCCAGGTGGCCTGGGTGATGCTGTGCAGATGACGGGCCCTGCTGCAGATTTATGACCAAAGTGGTCCTTTCAGGTCATTTTGTCTGGGGACAGGTGATCACGGATATGCTCATGCCCCTTCTCTGTTAACTTTCTGACTCCAAGGAAGTTTGAATCTGGGACCTGCAGCCCATGAAATGTCCAGCATGAGCTCCAGGTGGGCTGCCTGTAGCTTCAGCCTTGCAGGTAAGGACTCAGTGGAGCCGAGCATGGTCAGTGCTCAGGAGGGCCAGCAGGGTGGGTGAAGCTGGTGGCCCATCCCTGTGCCCGTGGAGGACTGGACAGCCGGAGGGTCTGGTCAGAAGGCTGCTCTGCACTAAGGAGGAGTCTCCACTCCTGTGCTTCTGGCCAGCGGCTCCCCTGGGCCTGCCTCAGACACCCAGCCGGGGTGGGGGTGGGGCAAACCAGGCTGAGAAGGGAATGGGCGACTGTAGGGCATCGCTGCTGGCTTGTGGGGAAGCCACATACTTTTTAGAGATGCATCCCCAGGAAGCATCGTCTCTGGGATATCACCCTTAGATTAGTTGGGTTCTCCAGAGCTGGTGGGTCACAATGTCCCAGTGGAAGGGATGGGGGAGAGGATTTCAATAATCCAGGCTTGTGTGTGAATGGGCCAGTCACTGAGCACTGGCTGGGAGTGGGTTAAGTGATGTTTATCAAACTGCCAGTCAGGCAAGAATTAGGCACCTACTGTGTGCTCAATATGGTGCTGGGTATAATGTGACTGAAGTTGCCAGACAGGAGTCCAAAAGCTCAGAGTCCAGTCCAGGACAACAAAAGGTTCACAGGCACTTGTCTTGGTCCACAGAGGGCTGAAGGCAACTTACAAAAACAAACAACAACAAAAAACAAACTCTGCAATATAATAAAACAAAGTACTGAAGAAATAAAGTCAAAGGGAAAATGGGGAGCAGAAAAATATGTTATTCCAGGAAGCAGCGTAGTAAACAAACTGTATAAAAATGGGCAGGTAATTAGCTGCTAAACGAGGAGACTCAGAAGAGAAGAGGTGCTTCCCAGGTAGCTCAGTGCATGAGACACACGAGACGTGGATTCGATTCCTGGGTCAGGAAGATCCCCTGGAGGAGGAAATAGCAGCCCACTCCAGTATTCTGGCCTGGAATATCCCATGGACAGAGGAGCCTGGTGGGCTACAGTCCATAGGACTGCAAAGAATCAGACAAAACTGAGTGACTGAGCATGCACCTGACGTACGCAGAGGTGAAAGGATTCAACGTCTGCAATGTGCTTTAAAATGACTTAGAAAAAAGTAGATGATGCAAACACAGCCCAATCTGAACAATTGCATCAGATCAGGGGTGGAAAACCGTGTCTGTGAAGGACAGGGAAAAAGCAAGCATGCTCTGTGGACACTGTCACATGTCCTTTCTCTTCTTTTCCCTCCATAAACCTTTAAAAAGCCAAAAACCATACTTTGACTGGCAGGCTGCTGTTTGCTGATCCCATGAGTGTGTGGTTGGTCATCTTAAGACTTTTCTACTTTTCTGGATGTTTGAAAATTATCAGAATAAAACCTGACGAGTTAAAGGAAGGGCCTCTAAACAACCTCGAGGCTATCGAGGAGGTTGTGGGGAGGGGTCCCGTGCCTATGTGGAGGTGGACGCACTTGCCCTGTGTCCTTCTCAGGCACACTGGTCAAACCAGCACGGTGGACAGAGGACAGAGGGCTGGGCCCTACCATGAAGGGCCCATGCATTCATCTGTGTCCACTAGCTGAAGACTGTTGACTAACCATCTACAGGTGTGAAGATTTGGGTTCAAGACTGGATTTCTTTATGGCCATTGTTAGAGGCTGTATATTGTTATCCTGCTTATTTAACTTATATGCAGAGTACATCATGCAAAATGCTGGGCTGGGTGAAGCACAAGCTGGAATCAAGGTTTCCAGGAGAAATACCAATAACCTCAGATATGCAGATGACACCACCTTTATGGCAGAAAGCAAAAAGGAACTAAAGAGCCTCTTGATGGAAGTGAAAGAGGAGAATGAAAAAGCTGGCTTAAACGCAACATTCAAAAAACGAAGATCATGGCATTCAGTCCCATAACTTCACAGCAAATAGATGTGGAAAGAATGGAAACAGTGACAGACTGTTTTTTTTCTTGGGTTCCAAAATCACTTCAGATGGTGACTGAAATTAAAAGACATTAAAAGCCATGAAATTAAAAGACACTTGCTCCGTGGAAGAAAAGCTATGACAAACCCAGATAGCGTATTGAAAAGCAGAGACAGGGACTTCCCTGATGGTCCAGTGGCTAAGACTCCGAGCTCCCAATGCAGGGGGCCTGGGTTTGATCGCTGGTCAGGGAACTAGATCCCACATGTCTCACCTAAGACCTGATGCAGCCAAATAAATACATATTAAAAACAAAAAGAAAATTAGAGACACTACTTTGCTGACAGAGGTCCATCTAGTCAAAGCTATGGTTTTTCCAGTAGTCATGTATGGATGTGAGAGTTGGACCATAAGAAAGGCTGAGCACTGAAGGATTGATGCTTTTGAACTGTGGTGTTGGAGAAGACTCTTGAGAGTCCCTTGGACTACAAGGAGATCAAACCAGTCAATCCTAAAGGAAATCAATCCTGAATATTCATTAGAAGGACTGATGCTGAAGCTGAAGCTCCAATACTTTGGCCACCTGATGCAAAGAACTGGCTCATTAGAAAATATCCTGATGCTGGGAAACATTGAAGGCAGGAAGAGAAGGGGACAACAAAGGACAATTTGGTTGGATGGTATCAACAACTCACTGGACATGACTTTGAGCAAGCTGTGGGAGATGGTGAAGGACAGGGATGCCTGGCATGCTGCAATCCATGGGGTCGAAAAGAGTTGGACACGACTGAGTGACTGAACGATTGTCATAGTCTGAACTGTGGCCCCCCCAAAGTCATGTTGAAGTCCTAACCCCCCAGTACCTGTGGATATGACCTCACTTGGAAACATGGTCATTGCCGAAGCACTCTAGGGAAGATGAGGTCACACTGGGCTTGTTGTTGTGGGTTAGTTGCTAGGTGGTGTCCGACTCTTTTCACCCCCATGTACTATATCCCGTCAGGCTCCTCTGTCCATGGGATTTCCCAGGCAAGAATACTGGACTGAGTTGCCATTTCCTTCTCAAAGGGATCTTCCTGACCCAGGGATCGAACCTGGGTCTGCTGCATTGGCAGGTGGATTCTTTACCACTGAGCCACCTGGGAAGCGCCATACTGGGTTAAGGTGGCTCTAATCCAACATGACTGGTGTCCTAATAAGGAGAGAAGACAGAGACACAGGAGAAAGGAAGGGGAAAATGAAGATACAGGCCATACAACCCATGTGCCGATGAAGGCAGAGACTGGAGGGAAGTGGCCACAAGAAAAGAACTCCAAGGGCCACCAGAGGCAGAAGGGAATGTCCCTAGAGCCTCAGGAGGGAGCACAACACTGCTCATACCTGAATTTCAGATTTCTGGTCTTCAGAGCTGAGCGAATAATGAACATTTGTCATTTAAGCAAGTGCCCAGTTGGCTGTACTTCATCGCGGTGGCCCCAGGACACTAACACAGCTGGGGATTGGGGTTTGGGGGCGTAGCTTGTCCCCCTTAATATTTCAACAGCCTCCATGGAGACCAAACAGGCTGAAGTTGTTTGCAAAGAAGAAGTCACTGTGGGTGTATCTGGCTTGGCTATGGCCACAGGTCCATCAGATGTTTACGTGGGGCTCAGCCACGTGGGCTGGCCTCCCCGTCCACCTGCCTCCACCTTCACTCCGTTTCCAGCAGCAGCGAGCCCCCTTCTGCTGGCTGCCCCAGGGTCCCTGTGTGGAGGGGGCTTCCCCAGGGAATTGAGCCGGGTTGCTGGAACACCCACACCTCACCCAGCCACGCAAGTCCCTGCCCCAAACACCTCGAGGCCGGCCCTGCACTGCTTCTCTCCACAGCAGGGCTCAGTGGGAAATGACCACGTCTGCCTGTCACCTTGTGTTGCTTCCCCTCGAGGGAGCAGACAAACAGAGCCTGTCCAAAGACACCCCACAAAACATGGACCCTCACTTAGGATCTATGCCGGCCAAAGGACTCCCCTCCCATGTCTGATGGGCCCAGCAAAGTGGATTTCTTCCTGGAGGCCACATTAGCATCTCGATGTCATCAGGGGTCCTGGGAGGAGGTGGCAGGGTGGGAGGGAGAGAGGTGTGCTCCGTCATCATTATAGGCTCAGGGGTCCCTCCCATCCACAATGCACCCCTGGGCAGCTGCGTGGACATGTCAGCATCCTTGGATGTCCTAGAGCACAGATTCAGAGAGCTTTGAGGGGCCAAGTGTCATTTTGGGGGTTAATTTTAAAGCAGACACAACACCCATTGAGAAAAAGCATTTCTCCTACAAGCTGTCCTATACCCCTGAACCCACTGATTCCACCAGCCTGGAGTCTGCACATCTGCACCCACCAACTTCACTGGCCTGGGTTCTGGACACTGGCATGGATGTTTTTAAAGCCCTCCAGGTGACTGAGCTGCAGCGTGGTTTGGCAGGTGTTCAGCTATAAGAACTGGTGGTTGATGTGATACTGCCTGGGTTTTGTCTACCCTGTGGCCACCCTCATCTTCCACTTCAGTCCACACAGCAGCCTGAGAAGTAGGTACCATGATCATCCCATCCGATGGATGGGGAAACTGAGGCACGGATGTTAGGTGATTTGCCCAAGGCCCGTTTGGCACCAAAGCTCTTGCTCTTAATTTATCCGGGGCCTGAACTCAGCCACTGTGGCGTCAGGACGCCCCAGCCAGCCTGACCCCGCTCCCTGGGTGCCACCTCTGGCTGTGGTCTGGGCTGTGGTCCCTGAGAGACATCACCATCCTCCCTACCTGGGAGGACATCCCGTGGCAGGGATACAGGATGGCGCGGTCATCGTCCTCCGCTCCTTGGTCTAAGCAGTAGCCGCTGGCTTTGCTGTTTCTCACCTATGACCAGAAGCCAAAGGAGAAGCCCCATCACAAGGACCCCTAAGGCCAAAGCAGGCTAGAAGGGCTTTACTCACCTGTCCCCTGCCCAGGGCCAGCGGTCTCAGGAAGGGGTAGTCCTCCCAGGATGAGAGGGGAAAGGAAGAAGGGGAGGGGGAGGGGAGGATGGCGCTCTGGCCAGTGGGCTGGCTGAGGAAGACTGGCTGGCTCCTGTGAATGGCCCCCCCGAGTTCAGGCCTTTGGCTATATGACTGCAGCTCCTCCTGTTAACAGCGGTGGCGTTGGGCGGGGGTTGTTGCTATTCCCATGGTCCCCATCTGGGCCGGCCTAAAGGCTTGTGTGGCTGATAGATGCAAGAGATACCTGTGTGCAGCTCTGAGCCTCGGGATTCCTGCAGCTCCTACTCTGCCCAACCCTGACTCCACCCTGAGAGCAAGCCGGGCTGCCCTGCTGGGGTGACAGACAGAGGAGAGGAGGCCTGTCCCCCAGCACAGACCAGAGCAGGTATACAGTGCTCTTCCCAGCTTTAAGGAGAGGTGGGTATGGCAATGCATGTGGGGGCTGGGGCAGACAGGAGGGTCTTCCCACAGCTGGTGCCTCTCCTGGTGTGTCTCTGGGTCCTTCCATCGTGCTCTCAACATGCAGGTGTTGGTGGCACACAAACAAGGCGGTGCATGTGACCACCTCCACGTGCAGGCCTTTGCATGTGTTTGCTCGTGCTCACATGTCATTTTGTCTCAGCAACAAGTATTTGTAACATGCCGGGCAGGCTCGATGGATGGGGTCAGTGTACAGAGGGAAGATGTATGAGGTAGCTTTTTGTGTGTGTGTATGTGAGCAAAACTGTGTGCAAATGTGTACTTTTGTGTCTGTGTACACTTACACATGTGTGCTTGCTTAGTCACTCAGTCATGTCCGACTCTTTGTGACCCCATGGACTGTAGCCCACCAGGCTCCTCTGTCCATGGGGATTCTCCAGGCAAGTATACTGGAGTGGGTTGCCATGCCCTCCTCCAGGGGATCTTCCCAACCCAGGGATCTAACCCAGATCTCCCACATTGTGGACAGATTCTTTACCATCTGAGTCACCAGGGAAGCCCAGGAATATTGGTATGGGTAGCCTATCTCTTCTCCAGGGAATTTTCCCAACCCAGGAATCATACTAGGATCTCCTGCATTGCAGGTGAATTCTTTACCAGCTGAGCTAGCAGGGAAGCCTGCAGACTTACATATGTATATGAGTTTGCATGGATCCACACATGTGCATGTGGGCACGTATATACACATGTATGCGGCACATGTGCACACACACACACGTGTCTCCAAATCTACTTTGTGATCCGCGGTGGCAGGCATGCATGTGTGTCCAAGCAGCTCTTACACTGGCGTGTGAGTGTGCCTGTGCGCTCTGCCGGCTGCTGTCCATGGACGTTCACACAGGGACAGGCCAGGGAGCTGGGAGGTGGGGTGCGGGGTGCCAGCCATCCATGGAGGCGGTACCTCTCCGTACGTGAGGGTGTCGTTGTACGTCCTCATCTCCGGGTACACGTTGTCCAGGTACCACTTGAAGCTGCGGCACTTCAGCCTCTGGCGCAGGGCCAGCCGCTCGGACACGTCCCCGAAGTCCACACCCGGGTTCTGCAAGGCCGGAAGTGAGGCAGGGCAGGCGCTGGGGTGTGCGGAGCCCTGACAACCCAGGCCACAACCCAGGGTGGGGGAGCTGCGGGATCCACAGGCACCAGGAGCGTCCCCGCCCTCAGGCTTCCTTGTCTGGGAACCTCCTGTCCTCCCAGGACCCTGCAAGGTCCAGGGCAGCAGGGCTGATGGCAAAGGCCTAGCGTCTCTGGCCTCTTTGCAGCAGGTCCCACCGGAGACCGGCCTGGCCTTCAGTCGGCCACTGGCGGCGTGTGTGGGCCTGGCTTGCTTGTCATGCCCTGCACACTCACCTGGGAGGTAACTTAGAACATCCTGAGTACTGTTGTTTACCGGGGCTGGGCCAGGGGGTCTGTGCTACAGGATGATTTATGGGGGTTACTGTGGGCATTAGCTTGACCTCTGCAGGGACCTGAGACCAAGTCTGGGCACACGGAGATCAGCCACGTGCACATGAGCCCCAAAAACTCCAGACGCTGAGACTCCAGTGACCTTCCCTGGTTGGTGACACCTTACATGCCCTGCTGCTGGGAGAATTCAGCACTGTCTGTTCTTTCATCATAACAAACCCCAATCCCCATGTGACAGCTCTCCTGAGTTCTGAGTCCTTGTAGCCGAACACTGAAGCTCAGGGTGGTCCCGGAGGCCCTGGCACTCAGTGAAAGGTGGAAGATGTGGGTGGGTCGGAGGAAGCCCCCTCCCTAAGCCCAGGTCCCTGAGGCATTGATGCCAGCTAAGGACTGCCCTCAGGCTTGGAGAGAAGGGCAGACTCTGGCTGGACTCGGGTGTGAGCAGCTCTGGGAGATGTCACCAGATGCTGGGCTATGATCTGACTCAATTCAGAAGATTCCAGTGAAGCTGTTTAAAATACCAGGACATTTTGCACATAATGAAGATAATTGTTGCTTCTTAACTTTTTTGTTATACACACAAAGCTCTATCTTTTGACAGCTAAAAATCCATACACACATGTGAGCCTATATGTGTGTGTGGATCCTAAAGAAGATCTAGCTCTTTCTATGGGTGGATGTGAAAAAAAAAAAAACTGTTCCCAGGACAAGTCTACCCCCAGAGACTCAAATCCTCCTGTGTCCAAGGAAGCAGCTGTGTGTGAAGCCTGGTTCTGCAGTTGGACTGCAGAATCAGTTGGGGGCTTGGGGGACAAGGAGAGCCTGTCCTCAGCACACACACGCCTGTGTATGTACATGCATGCACATGATGCACACACACATGTATGCCCAAGCCCCCTTCTCAGGCTGCCCTGCCCCCCAGGCACTGGTTAGGACCTCTGGCTCACTCCCAGTTCCTGCTTCTGGCCAGCAGCAGCAGACAGACCCCTGGCGTGGGCCTCCTGCCTCCACTCCCCGCAGGGCGGGTAGATCCGGCTGCAGACACCACACATGAGAGAAGCTGCCATCCCCAGGCCCTGAGACCCTCGTGACAGGGTCCTGTGGAGGACCAAGATACATGCCTACTCTGCTACTCATCAGCTGGGCACACTCCTGTGTGCAAGGCATAGGGTCGTGATATCACTGTGGACTCCTGCAGAACTGACATGAGAGGCTTCCGCAGGGCGAGGGGGATGCTTGTGTGTCCCAGGAGGGGCTGTGGTCGCCCTGGGGGAGCTGTCTCCTCAGTGCCACCTCTGCAGCCTCTCAGGGACTCGTAACTTCTAGTGAAGGAGCTCTTGGGGTGGAGGGGCTGCCAACGAGCGTCACAGCTGTTGGAAACAGGCTCTCCTTGCTGAAGGAAATGATGTTTCTGAGATGGAGCTGTCCAGGAGACCCCACACTGCGCGGATGGGCTGCGCCCTTGGGTGACCCTGAGGCTGTCCCCAGGTGTTGCCCCCATCCCCGGCCCCTCCCTGCCCAGCTTGGCCAGCTTACGGTCATGGGGATGTTCCAGGCCATGTACACGTGGGACTTGAAGCCGTCCATCCACACCTCGGCTGCTCGCAGGGCGTTGCGCTTCGCGTAGTAGTCGATGTCGTTGTTGTAGGGCTTCTTGGTGCGCTCGATGTGGGCCACGCGGGAGCAGGGCAGCACCTCCATGCTGCCGCCACACTGCCACACCTGCGGGGCACCCGAGGGCCCTGGGTAGTGGCCCCACCCCTCCCGACAGCCACCAGGGGCCGAGGCCACCAGCCCTCCCTCCCTGCATCCCCTGCACACGGTCCCCAGGACAGGTCTTCCCTCCCGAGCGCGAGAAGGCCTGGCCACCTGGGCTATTCCAGGGGAAGAGGCCAACCAGAAGCTAAGGCCTTGGGCTAAATTCACCAAAGCCTGGGCGCAGGCCTCCCCTTCTGGATTTCCTACCAAATCTCATTTCTTTTGCACATTCCATGATATAAACAATGGAAGGATTTTTCCTGACACCCTGACACTTCATTATTATTCCTATCCTGTGGCCCCCGCCCCCACTCAGCATTTGCTCCAGGCCCGGAGTCTGGCCCGAGAGGCTTACTTCCCACCAGCAGCTGCCTCCACCACCTCTGAGCTGGAACAACCAACCTACAGTCTAATTTTAAAAGAGCAGCTTCCTGTGCAAACGCCACCCAAACCACTCCAGATAACTTCAATCCAAGGGTGCACTTGCATGCACATGGCTTCAAGCACCCCAGGCACAATCTCAGTCTAAAGAAAAGTCTAAGGAAACAACTGCTTCCTCGGCAAATAGGGCTCCCTAAAGTCCCTCACTGATGCAACCTGCATCATGAACTCCTTTTATGCCTGCTTACTTCTTGCACTGCTTCACCTCAACAAAACTCAGCCTTACTAGGCATGGGCTGTATTAGTCTATCCCATCTGTCCCATCCTGCCTATGATGGTTAATTTTTTTTGGAATTTTTTATTTTGCATTGGGGTACAGATGATTAACAATGTTGTGATAGTTTCCAGTGAACAGCAAAGGGACTCAGCCATATATATACGGTATTGGGGCTTCCCAGGTGGCCCTAATGGTAAAGAACCCACCTGCCAATTTAGGAGAGGTAAGGGCCATGGGTTCAACCCCAGCCCAGGGATCCATTTCCGCTACAGGGATCCATTCTCCCCCAAACCCCGTTCCCGTGTGATGGTTAACTTTATGTGCTGTGGGGTGCCCGGATATTTGGTTCAACATTACTCTGAGTGTGTCCAGGAGCATGTCTCCAGGTGAGATAAACACTTAGGTAGGTGGGCTGAGTAAAGCAGATTGCCCTCCTCAGTGTGGGTGGGTCCCAACCAATCAGTTCAAGGCCTGAGTGTACAAAACGGCTAAGAGAGGCACAATTCTTTTTCTCTGCCTGACGGTCATCGAGCTGGGATGCTGGTCTTCTCCTGCCTTCAGCCTTGAGTTGGAAACATACCCTCAGCTCTCCTGGGCCTCCAGCTTGCCGGCTCTGGGTCTTGTGCCTCTCAGCCTCCATCGCTGTGTGGGCCAAGTCCTTATCTCTGGAGAACCCAGACTAATATCCTACCATATCACATCCCACTCCATCCCACTGAAAAATGCTAGTACCATCCACTAGGTTGATGTCACCATGAACAAATCAGTCTGAACAACTTGGCCCAAGCTCTCTTCAATCAGATTGTTACCCCTAAGCCTCTTCTAATTTAGACATTTTGGAGGTGCCAGGCACGTGCTCAGCACCTTACTCGCTTCATCTCACTCACCCCTACCATTAGCCAGGAAGGACGGGTACCATGGGCAACATTCTCCCTACTGTACAGAAGAAGATACTGCAGGTCAGAGAGGTTAAGCCAGTCACACAAGATCACGGGATATGACCAGGCCTGATTGATCCACAACCTCTTAATGTCTATGTTGTGCTGCCCACACCTCCCACACACAGACACTGTCTCCTGGAAACTGTCATCTTTTATAGTTGAAATGTAACATCAATTCACAAACATTTGTCCACTCAGCCAAACACCTAAGAGTTGTCGTTTCTGATCGCGGTGAGGATGGGTTTTAATTCACTTCCTGTTGCCCAGTTATTAGACATTTAAATCTTCCTCCTTCCTCCTTCAATAGTTCCTTCACTATTCAAAACAATGCTGCAATCTACATTAAAAATGCTTTCTTGGGACAAACCTTCACCATAACTTGGCAGGCATGGGTTGTTTTAAGCTAAAGTCTTGATGACAAACAAGTACAATAGGGTGTCTCTCAGCCTTGAGCATGGCTTTCACTCTGCGGGTCCCTCTGGCCTCTTGTTTGGCCTTCTTCAGCCTAGGAGTTCTTCCTTATGCCCAGTTTAAGTGGCACCAGCTTCCTCAAAGCCCATTTCTCCCTCACAGCGACTGTGAAGAGAGGCCGCGATGCCTCGGGGCTCCAGCCTGAGCATCCAGAGCCTACCTCAGGGGCCCCTGTGGAGAGGCATGGAAAGTTGACCCTGAGACCAGTTAGAGGCCGCCCATGTTTCCTGGGACCACCATAAACAAGGACCACAGACCAGGTTTAAACAACAGACACTTACTCTCCCACAGCTCCAGGGGCCCTGCTCGCTCGGGAGCTCCAGTGGAGGACCCCACCTGCCTCTCCCAGCTTCTGGTGGCCCCGTCCCTCCCACCACATGGCCTCCTTCTCCGTGGGTCTGTGTCTTGCCTTCTCCTCTCTGGTAAGGACACCGGCTGTCAAATTTACGGTAGTTTGGTTTAGTCACTAAGTCGTGTCCAACTCTTGCGACCCCATGGACTGTAGCTCACCATGCTGCTCTGTCCATGGGATTTCCCAGGCAAGAATACTAGAGTGGGTTGTCATTTCCTTTTCCAGGGGATCTTCCCAACCCAGGGATCAAACCTGGGTCACCTGCATTGCAGACAGATTTACCAACTGAGCCACCAGGAAAGCCCTGTTGTGCTGTGTGGTGCTAAGTCACTTCAGTCATGTCCAACTCTGTGATCCTACAGACTGTAGTCCAACAGGCTCCAGGAAGCCCTCTACACCCTAAATCCAGGAGGATCCTGTCTCAAGACCCCTCACAGATTCTGGGAGGATGTATCATTGGGGTTGCCACTCACCTACCATGGTTGCCAAGCTCTCATTTCAGGAAAGAAGACAGCCTAGCCCTATTCCTCCTGTGTTCCCACCCTGCCTCCAGACAGAGGAAGAAGGCAGAAAGATCTCAGTGGATAGTCGATGGCCCCTCCTCACATCACCCACAGCCAGGATAACAAATCATGTCTGAGCAAGTCAGACATCCTGGGTCGGGGAGGCTGCCTGCTCCTCATGGCTCACTGAGCATGTGCCCAGCACCAGCTCCCCTGGCCCAGCTCACGGCTGCTTGGGACCACCGCTCTGCACCCTGCAGAGGGCAGAGGTCAGCATCTGCCTCCCTTGCTGGATGGTGAGAACCCTGCGTGCTCTGTGTCAGAGATGCTGGCTGAGGTTGATGCCTGCATCGTCTTGCTTCCACATCACTGGAGGAGGGACTGCTGCCCATCCTGGCCTGACCCTGGGGAGCTGCAGGGGGTGGGTGGGGGGCACTGTGGAAGCTTTGAAAGGCCAGGCCCGTGTGCCACTCCCACCCCTTCGGCTCACTGTGCTATGCTTAGTCAATCAGTCATGTCCGACTCTTTGGGACCCCATGGACTGTAGCCTGCCAGGCTCCTCTGTCCATGGGGATTCTCCAGGCAAGAATACTGGAGTGGCTTGCCAAGCCCTCCTCCAGGGGATCTTCCCAACCCAGGGACTGAACCCAGGTCTCCTGCATTACAGGCAGATTCTTTATTGTCTGAGCCATCAGGAAAGCCCAAGAATCTTGGAGTGGGCAGCCTATCCCTTCTCCAGGAAAACTTCGGGACCTAGGAATTGAACCGGGGTCTCCTGCATTGCAGCTGGATTCTTTACTAGCTGAGCTACCCGGGAAGCCCGGCTGTGACTTTGACACCCACATCTCTATCAAGTTCCAGCACGAGGCCCAGCTGCCCGCCAGCCTGGGAATGCAGGTAGACACTTGGTGAGCCAGGAACCTTCCAGGAGGCCAAACATGGAAACAAACAAAAGAAGCTCTGCAGACCTGCAGGGCAAGCATCTGTCCATCTTCTGTGGCCACTGTCACCGGATGTTTTCTGAGGGGCCTCCCTGCTGTCCATCATCCCTGCCCAGTCTCCACCTCAGGCTAGAGGTTCTTCAAAACCCATGTCCAGCCATCCAGTCCTCTGACCCTCCCAGGACTCGCCACCCCTCACCCCTGCTCTCCCTCTGCTTGTCTCAGACCCCGCCCCACAATCTGCCACGGCCTCTGCACTGTCTGCTGCCTCCATCAGGAACGCCCTTCCCCCCTCCCCGGATCTCGGATCTCGGCCTGCCTGGCTGCCTCTCCAGCCTCAACTCCTCAGATGTCACCTCCTCTGCAATTCCCCCCTGAGCACCCCATTTAAAGCTGCAGCCTCTCCCGCCTCATTCCCCTGACCAGCTTTATTTACCTCTGTGACTTCTGTCCCCTTCTCACATGGGACACCATTGACCTGCTGATTTCATTTTGTCTGTCTGCCCACTAAAACGTAAGCCTCGTCAATGGGGTTTTCCATTGCTATGTTCCCAACTGATAAAGCTGAACTAGGAGAGAGCAGTGAAGTGAAGATAAACCCCAACAATGCCACGTGGGATGGGCGGGGGATTAACCTGTCTTCAGTGCAGATGAAAATGAGAACTGAGGCTCAGAGATGTTAAGAAGCACATCCAGCGTCACACAGCTAGTTCATGGTGAGGCAGGGACTCAGAACAGTTGCACGAAGCCCATGAAGTTGCTCTTCACCCGGGGCTGTGGAAGGTGTCATGGGGCTGATCCACACGATCTAAGTGTTCTGGTCACACCCACTCTGTGTCATAACCGCTAATTATTAATATCTCAACCAAGGTGGTTAACTGCCACCCAAACAGGATAGCAGACGTGAGGCAGAAGACCAGGGGTCAGACCTGCAAGCAGCTGCTTGGAGGGAGGCTCAGGGCACCTGCCCACCCCACTCGAAGGACCCCCCTGCCTGCAGAGACCCCTGTCCCTCAGTCAGCAGGTCTCCTCAGCTCCTGGAGCCTCAGGGCTGGAATTCCAGAGCTGCAGCTTTCACACATAAGCCCTTCTCCTTAA